GGGTCTTTCCAGAGCCCAAGTCCTACCTGCCACATCCAGGTCGACGCGGTAATGCACTAAGTGAGTGTGCATGTTGCCAAGCAGGTGTGTGTGCAAGCGGGTCCCATGGCGCAGCCCCTCTGGGGTATAGAAGGTGGCATGGACGTAGCCGGTGGCATGCATCTTGGCCTCCATCACCCCGTTGGGGTAGAAGATGAAGTCCCAGATGTAGTCATAGTTGTAGACTGTTGACGTTGTTCGTAGCACCAGCACCTGGCCCTGCAGGCCTGCATAGAAGTTGAAGCCGCCGCTGAAGTTGGAATTGAAGTGTCGCCTGAGGGGCACTCCTGTGGGCATCTCAAAGACACAGAGGGCTCGGGGGTAGCGCACCGGGTCATCGGCATCGTAGTAGTGGAGGGCATCTAGGAAGGTGGCTGTGTCCGGGCAGTCGATGCCAGGGGCTAGCTCGTGAGTGACGCTGCCCAAGCCCCAGCCCACGTCGATGTACTTGGTCTGCATGCCCGCAGGCGTGTGTCCTCCATACAGCGCCACCGCCTCCTGCACGCTCACCTCATAGGCTACACGCTCGCACCCGAAGTGCACGTTCAGGACCTGTAGCCCCGAGGAGGAACGCAGCCTGAAGGAGAAGCTCCAGCCGCCGTAGAGCACGGTGTTGCCCTCCAGCCGGTAGCGGGGACCTTGGGGCTGGACCAGGCGGGGGCCAGTCACATTGATGGGGGTGGGGAAGTCCCCACGTGGCTTGTAGGAGGAGAAGAGGGGTGGTTCCTTCGTGCTCTTTTCACTCTTGCCCTTGGGCGATGGGTCCTCCAGAACCACCACGTCTACCTCTCCGTCCTCGTACTTCCGCGCCAGCTCTTCCGGGCTCCGGTAGAACTTCCCATTGTACCAGACCCGCTCCACCGTCCAGTTTTGGGCGTCGGTGCTTCTGTGATCCAGGAGGAGCTCCAGCCCAGTGGGGTGCAAGAAGTAGCCTTCTACAAAGCGCTGCAAGATAAACCAAGAGCGGCGCTCGCCGGAGGCCAGGCCCCGAGGCGCCACGTCTGTGAAAGTCAGGCATCGGGAGTGACAATCTTGGTAGGAGAAGCCTGTGGTATCGAGGAAAAACTGGTGCAGGGGCTTCGTGGCCTCCTTCAGGGCGTGGCCCAGGAGGGCATACTCCGCCGAGGAGATGGGCCTGGAGGCCCAGGTGGCCTGGTGCCCAGGCTTGGGGGGCAGCTCTCTCATGTAGTAGGGCCATGGCAGGGGCCCCACAGCGAACTCGGTGATGTTGGGGTGCTCCTGGGCTCCGAAGAAGATGACGGCACGTGCCTCCCGAGCGGGAGGCCTTCCACCTTTGTCCAGAAGTTTCAGTACGTGTTGCTTCTTGGGCAGCAGCATCTCAATGAGGAACACGGAGTTCTTGGCCATGGTCGGTGTTCGGGAAGGCTCCAGCCTCAGCTCCTTATGGGACCAGAGGAAGTTGCGCACGGCCTTCAGCTCTTGGGCACTCAGGTCCTCGAACACCCTGGCCTTGTGGTGCAGGGTCCGTGGGGTGCACTTGGTCGCGGCCACTGTCTGCAGCGCCAAGATGGTGGCAATGGCCCAGCCAAGGGCCAGGGTCTCTCGCTTCATGGCTCTGGAATGGAGTAGCAGAGATGAACTTAGTTGTTTTATGGGAGGAAGTGAGTATCCACGAGCCCTGCACAGCGATGTCCCTTGGCTGGGTGGTTTTCCTGCAGCCTCAGCCCCCTCCTTCACCCATTCCAGTGGGAGCCAGGCCTCCATGGCAGCTGGGGCCCCGATGCTGCTCAGGTCTGTGCTTCCCATCAATTGTAATTCTGCCCTCTCCTTGCTCATCTGCAGGCCTCTGCGAGTCCTGTGCATTTTCTTACCTAATGAACTCATTTTGCCCTTTTCTGTGTATTTGCTCAGCAGGGCAGAACTTTGGGTTCTTACCTCTCCACCTTGAGTGCTAGTTGTGTCATTAGGTATTGACAGCAAAACTACATTTCTGATACAATATGATATTTTTCATGTAGATACATTTTGAAATTTAGTGTAGAAGTTCAAAGAGTCAGCCCCAGGGTCAGGCTGCTTGTGCTCGGGTCCTCCTCGTATGTGCTACCACTAGGACCAGCTGTGTGACCTTGGGCAAGTGGCTCAGGGTCTCTGGGCCTCCACTTTTTCAACTACACAATGGAAATAATGGCTGCGACAGCTACCTCTAGAACTGATGCAAGAAACAAATTGGACAATAAAGATAATGTGTTTAGAACTATGCCTACCTTCTAGGAAGCACCCAAGAAATGCTAGCTACTCTTCTTTTTAATTTTTTTTTAAGTTTATTTATTCATTTTGAGAGAGAGAGGGAGAGAGAGAGCGCATGAATCAGGGAGGGGCAGAGAGAGAGAGAGAGAAAATCCCAAGCAGGCTCTGCGCTGACAGGCTGATGCGGGGCTCAAACTCAAGAACCATGAGATCATGAGCTGAGCCGAAGTCAAGAGTCGGACGCTAAACTGACTGAGCCACCCAGGTGCCCCTCCTCTTCTTTTTAAAGTCAACTATGAAGATACGGTCTGTGATACCAACATACGTAAAAATGGAAGCAATGTAAAGTAATTCGACTGTGATTAGGCTGTAGACCTGTGGCTCTGAGGGTGCGGACGGGGTGGCCAGCCCTGCTCCAGAATGTTTTGACACTTCTGGTGGAGCCCTCAGCTTGCGGCTGCTAGACCATCCACGCAATGTGGAGCCATCCCAGGTGGCATTCAGGGAGATGCCTCTCCCCCTTCCATTTTGGGGGACTGTGTCAGGCTTTTCACGTCATTTTCCCACCCCCAGGGCAGCCACTAGAGCCCCCTCTGGGTTTCTCATCTTCTCCCCCGGCCCTGGTGGGAGCGCCCTAGGGACTCACAGGAGACTTCGGACTGCTGGGTGAATCCAGAGCCAGCAAAAGGACATGGGGTGAGCGTGTGATCTGCTATTAAATTTGCCAAGGCTCACCCCCCCGCCCCTTTTTTTTTAGTAGATTTTACTTTTTAGAGCAGTTCTAGGATCACAGCAAAATTGAGCACAAGATACAGAGATTTTCCGGGTACCTCTGACCCCTACTCATATGCAGCTTCCCAATGAACAATGTTCTTCTCTAAAGTGGGTCATTTGCTATCATCTATGAACTCACACTGACACACCAAGGTCACCCAAAGTCCACAGTCGACATTAGGGGTCACCCTTGCTGTTGTACATTCTACGGGGTTTGGCAAACGTGCCATGACATGCATCCATCATTATAGTATTGTACAGAGCAGTTTTTCTGGCCTAAAAATCCTCTGTGCTCCATCCGTTCATCCCTCCCTTCCCTCAAACCTGTGGCCACCACCGACCCTTTTATTGTCTCCAGAGTTTTGCCTTCTCTGGGATGTCACGCAGCTGGAACCCTACACTGCGCAGCTTTTCCAGATCGGCTTCTTTCGCTTGGTGATAAGCATTTAAGTTCCTCCGTATGTCTCTTCTTCTCGGTCAGGCTCCCCCCCCCCCTTTTTTTTTTT